CCCATCCCTCGAAGCCTCCACCTCCCACACCCCTCCCCCATCTCTCTGGAATGGCAGTGCTGGGGAAGGGGTTCTAGAAGCATCATTTGGCAGGAGCATCCTGCTTTGGCTGCCAGACTTGGTGGCAGCTGCTCTGTGGCCCCTGCGATGCTCGTGCCCCTCCTGTCCTGCCTGCTCTGGGGCTGGGGCCTCCAGACAGCTGTGAGTGACTCTGGCTGCAGCTGGGGCCTCCCAGCCAGGTTTCCTGGAGGGAGACAGGGGCAGTGTGTTCTAACAGAGCAGTGGCCGACAGGGCACAGGGACAGGAGTGGGCTCTGCTCTGGCTTCCCCTCTCGGAGGGGCTGCTGCACCATATAGTGTGGGCACAGACATTGGTCAGAGTGCCACCAGCCCCAGGCCTGCCTGGGAGGTCACCCACCACTATCCCCACCTGTGCACACCGTTCCTGAAGCCCCTTTCCTTACCCCCTGGGCCCTGCAGTCACAGGGGATGGGACCCCAGTCCCTGCCCATCTTCTGGAGGGCGCTGCTCTCTGGGGACCCCTCCTCTGGTGCGATGCTCACCCCCAGGGTCTCTCCTGAGCCCCCACCCTTGGACTCCTCAGTGTAGTCCCGGGGGACCCCTTGTTCTCCACCTTCTTCCAGCTTCCTGCTTGGAGTTTGGAAAGCTGAGAAGGTCAGCTCCTCCTCTCACGACACCCCATGGCCACTGGGACCTTCCTGCCACCACCTTTGGCTCCTGTAAACCTCTGAGCCCATACAGCCTCTTCCCTGGAGTGTCCTTGAGTCGCCACCCATCAGAGACCAGGCTTCAGGGTCCTACCTGCGCACTACCACAAGGCCATGCCTTCAAGGCCTTGCCTACACCAAAGCCACACCCCTACAGGACATGCCCCGCCTCCATGACAAGGCCCCGCCCACTGCAGGCCCCCCCCCCTTCAGCTTTGACTTCCCCATGGGGGTCTACACGTGGCAGTGTCCACCCAGGACACTGCAGTTCCCTCTGTGAGGCCCCACCTATCCCTGCCACCCTTCCCTCCTCTCCAAGCCAGGGATGGGGCCAGCCTGGGCTCTGGGGCTCCCCAGTTTTGCTCCAGTACCCCTCCCCCACCCCCATGAGTCCCTGTAGGAGGTAAGGGTGCCCATCCAGCAGGTGGAGGTGGACACCTGGCAGATGCCTGGGTTTGGGGCACTAGTCCTGAGAAGGCCCAGGCTGACTTGCAGGGATCCTGCTCTGGGAGTAGTCCTACCTGGGGGGAGCCCGGCCCTCAAAGGGGTTGAGTGCCAGCAGGGACCTGGCCTCGGGGTCGTTGGCCAGGAGCTTGCCCACCAGGTGGAGGATCCACTCGTTCTGCTCGTAGGTCTGTGGGAGCAGAGGAGGGTTGGAGGAAGCGGTGCCCCTAGGCCAGCACCTGCCTGTGTCTACCCAAGGGCCTACCAGCTGACCACACGTGAGCCAGCCCCAGTCCCACTTCCTGCCTGGCACCTGCTCTCATCCACTCATCCTCAGAGGCATGCGGTGCCTCGGCGTAGGCACTGGGCCCGCTGTCCCTGCTCACCCTGGACGCTGGCCCTGCTGGCCCTGGGCTCAGCCTCCCCAAGGCTCGGTGTCCTCGAGGCCGAGATGGGACTGGAAGGTACCGCCCTGCAGGGTCAGTGGGAGGTTGGGAGCTGCAAGTCCTGCCCCCGGTGCCCATACCATCCCCAAGCCTGGGGATTTCTTAGCCAGTCACCTGCATGCCCCCAGCCAGGGTCCTGTGGGATCTGGGCTCTTGGACAAGTCCTCTCCTAAGGCCAGGTCTGGGTCTGACCTCACCTCACCCTCCCCCCTGCTCCAGGCTCAGCAGGTGCTCTGGGGCCTGTGTGGCCCCCACCTAGGGTGCTGGAGTGGCCAGGGACTGTGACCTGCCTGGAACACCCAGGGCCACTGCAGACAGGAGGGAGTGTGGGCAGGCACGCGCAGCTGGGGAAGTGCCCTTACCTGGAAGGCAGCGAACCACATGAGCCAGTCAAGGCGGTAGTGGTAGGGGGAGGTGAGGCAAGGCCGGCGTTTGGGGTCACCTGGCTTGCACTTGAACTCATAGTCCTCCCACACGGCGCCGGGGGCGCTGACGTTGGCACTAGCTGTGCCCTGCAGGACTACCTCTGTCCGTTCCTTGGTGATGCTGTGGGGACACCAAGAGGGGTGAATCTGCAGCTCCCCCACATCACACAGGGTGGCTCTGTGTCTCCTTGGATTACTGAAGGTCCCCTCCCCTGGTCTCCTGGGCCAGGCTGAGTAGGGCACATGGGGGTCACCCCCGGGGCCTCCACGAGAGCCCATCCCCACCTTCTTGGTGGGGGCTGCCAGGCTGCTCCCCACACCAGTCTGGCCCCACTCCTTCCCTGCAGGAAGCCCCTTCCTCACGCTTGGGCTGGGCCATGATGCTGGGAGGGGTGGGCAGCATCCTGGCCAGCATTAGCTGGCCCCTTTGTGGCTGCCTCCAGGGCATGTGGTGGGCGTGGCCTGCACAGGTTGAGGGTGCTCAGCTGTGTGCAGCTTCATCTGCCGCCAGTGTCCCGGTGGACTCATCTGGGGCACCTTCCTGGCTGCCTGAAGATGCCAGCCCACAGATGGCACAGCCTGGACTGGGCACAAGGGAGGCAGAGGCCAGTCCCAGAGCAGAAAGGTCCTTGGACCCTGAAGGCCAGTGGCGGCTGGCTGCCCTCTCCTCCCCTGCAG